TGTCATGTCTTTGTAACCTCGATGTTTGAATATTGCTTTAGTTTTTTGTGCTTTTTCACGCTTATGAGTTACCGACTAAATTTAACACAGAACGAAATCTCAGCAACTACTTAACTAACAGTCTTGCTTTTTATGCTTAGCCTGTATTTTTATACCATGAAAAAAGAAACAAAATCCCCTTAGCAATTTTTCGCACATTTGTGCTGTAAGCATGTTATCATATCTTTTGCATGAGGGCCGCTGAAACCTCTGTAAGTAAGGATGGATTTGAACCCGTGAACTACTGATTGAAAATCAAGTGTCTAGACCAATGAGCCAGTGCTTCACCATTCATACAGATAATTAACATGTCCACAACACGTAAATTACAACCATACAACAAAGCTATTTATGCTACAAAAGAACAGAAATGGTTAGTTGACAATCGTTTCTCACTAATGAAGCACAGAGTAACAATCAGAGGGTTGGAGGAAAACCTATTTATGTGGTTGTAAAATAATACTGTTGGATGATCTCTTCATACATCATCTTTTAAAATAAATGCAGTATTTGGTGAAAATACATTGGACTAGATTTCGAATCTTGTTTTCTTTGGTCCGTTATAACACATAATCCCTTTAGGGTCTGGATTCTCAGTGTAATATTCAAATTCGTAAAAACTATTCACTGGAATAAAGGGGAGTAGGTTAGTACCTAACTTCAATTTTTTCCTTGTCGATTATAGGCCGGGTTCAGTTGGTGCTGTACTTAGAGTAAAGATATACAGATAAATCAAATTAGGACCTAGCACAAAAGTGCTTTAATTCAATTCACTTCACAAAGTATTCGGAGTAGACAGAAAGCGAATAACGTTGAAATCGACAAAATGTGTAACAGGATAAAGGAGAAATAAATAACAGTTAGTAAAATGTTCGAAAATGATGAAGTGACTACAATGTAGCCAAAACCTGTTCATTGTCATGTATTAAGCTACGATCCAGACTTACTGTTTGAAGGTTTATAATTATACTCCGTTGCCCAGTTTTTAGCAGATGCGACGGGATTTGAACCCAGCTACCAATCCATCAAGGTTCTAAACTAAAGCGTATTTATGCGCACTATGTGACCGATTTTGAGCCACGCCACTAAAACCATTGAATCCCGACATCAGTCATTTAGTCTACTTCCTACACAGCTCGGACCAACAGGCAGGTACATCATAGGCTAGTGCCACTTCTTCGTATGATCTGGAAGGATTTATTATTATTATTTGTCCCTTGGGTTCCTAATGGAACTATAGAGCTTCAGTAGCACGTCTCCAATGCGCTCTCTTCTCTTCGATCTTTTGGACCTGGCTCCACGAAAGCCCACAAGCTCTCATTTCCTCCTCGCACGATCTCCTCCATGTCACCCTCAGCTAGGACGCCCAACCCATCGTTTCCCCTCTGGGTTCCACTCGAGGGCCTAGCCTGACGCGTGATGTCCCCAGTCGGCCTTCTCAGTGTATGCCCAATCCATCTCCACTTCCTTCCAGTGCATATTTGTTCAGCGATAGCTTCTTGGTTGGTTCGTTGCCAACAGGAGTGAGTTCCTTGTTGCTTATTCTTATTATTCCGGCCATCGGAGCTTCAGTAACGAACCAGTGTAGGCAGTTGTTGATGAATATCTGTAGTTTATTGGAAATGTCTTTCGTAACGCGCCAAGTCTCTGAACCATATGGAAGCACTTACTTGACATTGGTGTTGAAAATCCGGATCTTTTCCCACATGCTGAGTTGATTGGAGTAGATCTCCACACTGGTTTCAGGTTAATGAACGCTTGTCTTGCTTTTCCGATCCTGGCTACTTTGACGTCCTCGTCTGTGCCGCCACCTGTAGTTGAAACAGTGCTGCCTAGATAAGTGTATGTGAAAGAGGCTATTTCCTTTAAGTTTCTCCCGTTCATGGAGCTTGTTGTTGGTTAGGTATCTTCATCACCTCTATCATCGTTCTCTACATTCACTTGAAGTCCCGTCTTCGCTGCCTCGCCTCTTCTGTCAACTTGTTGGTTTTTGCCTGTAGATCTTCAAGTTTGTGTGACATTAGACACAAGTCATCGGTAAAATCCAAATCTTCTAGGATCTTTTCCCCGGTCATGCGTATCCCCCTCTTCTCGCTCCTCACTGTTTGTTGCATGGTCTCCAGTCCACTACAATCAGGAAGATCATCGGTGATAGTAGACAGCCTTGTTTCACTCCTGTCTTCACCTCAAAGGCATCACTGAGCTTCCCATTGTGAATTACTTGGCATGTGGCATCTTCATATAGTTGTTGAATGAGGTTGATAAAAATTTATGACAGTAAAACTGTAATGTTGAAGCAACTGCCAAATTACTCCCCAGTCGACGCTGTCGAAGGTCTTTTCAAATTCGATGAAATTGAGGTAGAGAGTTGACTGCCGTTCTATACTCTGTTCTATGATGATGCGTAGTGTAGCGTTGCAATTTGGTCCCACATGATTTGTACTTCCTGAAGCCTGTCTGTTCCGGTCGTAGTTTTGAATGCAGCTCATCCTTTAGTCTCTCCAAGATGATGCGGCTTAATATCTTGCTTGGGGTGGACAGGAGTGTGATTCCACGCCAGTTCTTGCAAACACTGAGGTCTCCCTTCTTCGGGAGTTTGACAAGGTAGCCCTTCTTCCAATCGCCAGGTATCTTCCCTTTCCTCCACACCTTTTGCAATAATGGTGTGAGCATGTCCGCTGTTGTCTTTGCGTCTGTTCTCAGTGCTTCTGGCGAGATCCCATCTAGTCCTGCTGCTTTCCAGCATTTCAGCGACTTTATGGTGTCAAGGACTTCGACTTTTGTCGGACGATTTATGTTCACTTGTAGTTCAGCGGCTGCAGGTAGTATTTCTGGACGAAGTTCAGGTGGTGGTCGATTCAAGAGCTTCTTGAAGTGGTCGGCCCATCGTTTCCTTTGTTTCTCTTCTTTGGTAATTAGATTTCCTTCATCATCTTTTATTAGTTTCATTTGCGTTGATCTCTTCCCAGATAGTAACCTGGTTATTTGATACAAAGTTGTAAGGTCTCTCTTACCTGCAGCCTGTTCTACTTCACTTGCAAGTGTGTCGTGGAAGTGTCTTTTATCTTTCCGTGCACTCTTCACTTCTCTGTCCAGTGTAGTGTTTTATACATTGTACTCAGTTCCTCTTGTCGTTGTGCATCTTTGCACTGGCTTATCTTTTCTTCTTGACCATCTTTCTCTCCATCTTCTATCAGCTTCCATGTATCCATTGATGTCCATTCCTTATTTTGGTTCCTCTTCCTTCCTGACACGGTTATGCAGGTTTCCTTCCACGTCCCTTTCACACAGTTCCAGTGTTCTTCGACACAAATTCCTCCAGGGATATTCCTCGACACCTCCCATTTTGTCGTGATGGCTGCCGTGAAGGTTTCCTTTGTAGTTTCGTACTTCAGTTTTCGAGTGTTGTACTTGAACTTTAGTCTATCACCAGCTTCCTTGAAGGCTTTCAACTTGATTTTGAAGTTAGGCTCCTTGTACTAGACAGTGGTCTGAGCCTGCATCTGCTCCTCTTCTTGATCTTGTGTCATGTAGGCTGCGTCTCCGCTTTCTTGAGATTGAGATGAAGTCGATCTGATTTTTAGTGTAATGTGTCCATCTGGTGAATATCATGTCGCTTTGTGGATATCCTTGTGCTTGAACACACTGCCCCACTCCAACCACCAATTCGTTGGATGCACAGAATTCTTCAAACAATTCTCCATTCTCGTTCATTTCATGTAGCGCTTCTCGACCCATAGTTAGTTCTCTTCGTGTGTTGTCTGCTCCCAGTTTGGCATTCATGTCGCCCATTAGAATTTTGATGTCGCCAACTGAGATGGGATCTTGTCCAGTGGTGATTGCAGTTGTCTGTAGAATTTCTCCTTCTTCTCTTGATCTGCATTATTTGTAGGTGCGTAGCGTAGTATTGTATGATTGTGACTTTCCTTCCTTTTGAGTTGAACCTAGCTGTCATGATCATGAATCTGAGGGAGATTGGTTCCTACTGCATGAGAGAGAGAGAGAGCCATCGATGCTGTTGGGGACATCATGATAGCCACTCCATAACTCAGTGTGCTCGTGGTTGTCGTCTGTGTGACAATATCGGAGTAGACTATTGATTCTTCAGTTGACAATTTGGAGAGTCCACTTCCATTCCATCTGCTTTCGCAAATTCCTAACACTTCAATGCGATACCTTCTCATCTCGTTTGCAATCTGGGCAGCCTTGCTAGGTTCAAACATGGTGGGGATATTCCATGTCTCCATTCTTACTTTCGCTTTCATCGAGGGGGAGAAGACAGATCGACCAATTGGCTTCCCGAAGGCAGGCTTTCATCAACCGGTGTCCTTTCGCCTCTCCGATTTCAGCGAGGAATAATTTTGTTTTTATTTTTTATATTTTGTTTGTGCTTTAAGTTTCTTCAGCGGTTTAATTTGTTTTACGGAGTAGGCTTGCTAGGTCTGTGCCCAACCTTCCCTCTTCACCCGGGCTTAGGACCGGCTAGTAACTATTGAACTAGTTAACCAGGCGAGGTTATGATCTGGAAGGATACGGTAAGAAATTCATTAAGAGACCGGCAAAGACTACAGTGAGTAGCTTTGATTTCTTACAGTTGAGAAGATCTAATGTTGATTCTCTCGGCACTGCACTGAAAATAGTTTTTCTACGGTCAAAATTACCAGTTTACAATAACATTTGCTTATTAAGCAAATGTAAATCAGACTGACACGTTAATCACTCCATGTTTCAATTGTATTTTTCGATTTACGTGCTCTTGTGAAAGAAAGTGTATGTTCTACCTTACTGGATCTTTGATTATCGAACTCTTTCAACTTGACCTTTACCCAGTGGATAGAAAGCATGATAATCTCTCACTAACCTGATATTTGTGTAATAACTTAGTTGCGTTATCTGTTTTTTAATCCGATAGTTGTAAGTCACTGTTATTCCAATCAAATATTTTCTGATTATTTATATAGTTCTATGATCCTTTAGTCGTGTGAAGAATAACTTCGAAGGCCATCCTAATAACTACACCTACCATAGAATTGAAATTGTCCATCCATTTTAACATTGTAATGAAAGTATTCTTGTGTAACAAACTCTTATGGAACTATCCAACAAGGTGTCATTGTCCTAACTGTTACGATGATTTTAAAAAAGTATTCAATGGGTATATCTCCACTTCTCTGATGTGATGTTAAAGTTCTTTATGTAGTTGCAAAGATATTTTTTTAAAGTTACCTGTTGTGTAACAGTACTGAGTTCTAACATTTCTGTTTTCTTCCAGAACTTTGGAATTTATGTTTTATCACGCAACTGTTGTAGATTTTCACCTTATTAAAACTATATTATTTACTTATTTTGTTGATTAGGCCACCTGAGAAAGGTTTCTCTGACTAAAGTAACTGTTTGTTGTTTATTAACAAAAGTACTTCCTCCGTGGCTTGTTTTAATTTAAGTCCGTTTTCCCCAGTTGATTGGGTGCCAAAAATAAAATGAGTGCAGTTCTTGAAAAAAAATTATTTGTTTAGGATAATATAAATGTTAATCTCGTTTACCAGTATCTGCTGAAAACTCCAAATTACTGCGTTCATGAAATGACATCAGTTGATATATTATTGAAAATCAGTTTGTGCACGTCTGTGTCATTGTGATCTATTTTAAGCCGTGTCACTGAGTCTTCAACCACTTCTTAGCATCTTCTAAAGCTTGAATATTCACACTAACTTACCTACTTTGATATCACTCTTATTCTATCCACCTGTTCTCTTTGTACTACTGTAAAATGTACCAACTTGAGCCGATGTACCCGTGTGCGAGGTTTTACAGTGATTTCGTCAGTCAGTCAGTAGTCTTAGACTTCGTGGGTCAGTATCATGCCTTGATTCAACTCTTCTATACTTTCTTTCAGCCTGATTACCCTCCAGCTTGGCGGATATTGTTTCATTTTTGACTGCTTTAGTCATAGATAATCGTGGAGTCATCGATCCTCTACTGTCAGTTCCTTTTACTCGCTTCAACAAGGTGTTAGGTACACGATATTGGGTTGATCCTGAAATCTTAGCTGTTGTAGTGAGTAATATTAGGTGAAGTATGCTTACCGATATGTTCTGGCGAATGGCTATGCGATCCTGCACGGCTATAGATCAACATCAGTCGTGGTGGCAAGGCTTCTATCCATACTTTATCTTCTTATGCATTTCATAACTGTATTTCTTCGTCTTATCTTTTCTGTTTTTATTTACCGGTGCTGTAATCCGTATTGGAATGTCTCTCTCACTCGTTTGTTTCATCGTTGACTTATCGTTGGGTAATCTTGGGGTATTCAACAAATACTGGGCCAGCCATTTAGCCATGCCAACTTAACTGGTCTGTTTCACCACTGGTCCCTGAATAAGTCTTTTGTGCACTATAGTCAGTTGAAACCGTCCTAATTAGAGAAGCGAAGGCCTGAAAGGAAATCGTATTGGCAAAAGCAATATATCCCGACAACTCTGCTGTCTTCAATGAAGAAAGTAGAACTGTAATGAGTTTACTGGGTTTCTTTTCAAGTGTTTCATCATTCTGAAATTAAGCCGATATTTTAATTATCCTTAAAAATGAACCACGTAATTTGTGAGATACTCATGAGGAAATCAATCTGTTATTATCTAAGTCAGGTATTGATTGCTATACTATTTACATACTCTTAAGCGCATGGAAAAAGCCTGGTTAGTAGAGGCTAGGGTATTGCTAAGTTCGTGCCCTTATTGATAGTTTGCCAAATGCTTGAATGCTGTCAAACGTTTCGAAACCCAACAATCGTTATATTTCTTGGTATTAAGGATGCCCTTCATTCTTTGG